GGCCTTTCATGCTTTGGCTGAGGTTGCTTGTTTCTGAAAACGAGGTTCGGGAATGCTTTATTAGCACAATCTGTGCGACGCCCCTTGACGGCAGACAAGACTCATGTTGGGTTCTTCTTCCTTCTTCTTTTTTTTTCTTCATCCCAAATACACTTTGTATTCTAGACATCAGATGCCAGGTCATTTGCAGTAGTGACGCAATAGTAGAGACCTATACTGTTGGCCTCTTGAGGCCTTGTTCTATACTGGATTTGTTAGCACGACCTTGGATGAGCCATTTGCCCTCTCTGGACATCAATTTTCTTATCTGTGAAATGGGAGATGAGGTTGGTAATTTGACTAGAGCAGCCACACAAGGATACTTCAGCTTGTTCTAGAGGAATTAGGATTGATTTAAAACAAAAGAGATGAGAAGCAAGAAGGATTTAAAAAGCGAAAAACAAACAACTAAAAATACTTGGTATTAGATTTAATGAGAATACCGTTCTCTCGCAGGCAATTGGTGTTCTTGGCTACACATCTGTCTTTGCTAAGAAGTTGCTAAGTGCTTAGAGCATATTACGTGTATCGCCATGGACCTGATTTTTTTTCTTTCTTTTTTAACCTTCCAGCCTGGACTAGATGCTCAGTTGGGTTGGTCTTGGTGGGGCTTTCCCTGAAGAAAATCCCCAAATCTGTTATTGCCATGTTATTGGTTTTCTTCTGTCGGTACAGCCACACTTCTGCCATCTTGTTCCTGCTGGCCTAAGAAGTAGTGAGTTAATTCCTACTGCATGTGACATTTCTGAACTAATGGGTTTCTTTCAACTGAGTGTAGTAAGTGGGCAAGCAAACAGTGTGCTCAGAGGCAGCACATTAAAAACAGCTCCAAGCAACAGTTCTCCACTCCACCTGACCCCCTAGACCCCTGGCCAAGCTGTCAGTAAAACCTCTGGAAACATTTTAGATGCTGTGGGCCATGGAGTTGAAACAACTGGGGTCATTACAGCACATTAACCATCAAGCCAAAGTATTGGAAAGTGAGGAGGATTTTATTTTAATTATTTTCATTTTATTATAACCGAATGCTTCTCTCCTATTTGCTTCTGCTAGTAGCTTTCAAAATCCATTTTGGGTCTGACCACATGATTTTCAGTAATCCACCCCCACCTTTTTGTTGTTGTCTTAGTTTCGTGGAAGCTGCAGTTAGTGGTTAGCTCTTGAGGTAGTGAAAAAATGCTATCTTCTCCAAAAAGTAAAGGCTTGACCAATTAGGTTGAGTCTTTAAGATAGCTATACTGTGCGTGTGTATAAGTACTACTTTAACTGAGGACTATTCAATCAATAAAAATCATGCTCCTGAAAATAGTTACCATTTGAGACCCAGGCTGTTTTTCAGACACTGAGGTAGGAGTGAGCATCAGTTCACATATGAGAAAACAAAGCCAAGAGCAGACACAGCTGAGTGTTACAGCAGGTTCCCACAAGCTTACTGATGGTCTTTGAATCCTAACAGACTTTGTAGTGCTGGAAAGGGAATTCTTAGCTATCCTCCAGGGTTGTATTATGTATGTGAAAAGCAACAAGTAGACTGTAAAGTGTTCCCTAACCCAGGACATTTCATAAACTCTGGTGGACTCAGGAAGCAGCGTGTGAAGTGGTAAAGGCTATCTTTGGGATTCTTTGGAGCCTGTAGGATCTGGAGGAAATCCTGAGCCCTCTCATACTGGTTTCTGCATATGTAAAGTCAAGGCAATACTATCTGCCTTGCTTTACTGAGCTGTACCTGTGAATTGCAGTGGTGCTCAATAAAGACTGGTACTTCCTTTCTCTCCCTGTACAGGCACTCCAGATAATGGGATTGATTAAGTCTCCAGTAGGAATTGTTCTCAGGGGAAAAAGGCTTTTAAAGTACATTTTTGTCCTTATGAATAATTCTTCAGCTTTTGCCTCCGCAACCCAGCCCCCAGCATGCACAGTGAATATTCCAGGGCCTGTGGTAACCTAGTCCAAAAAGAACAAATTGATCAAAACCAGAGGCCAGAAAGGACAGGTCTTTTGTAGGAAGTTGAAGATGGATGTAACTAGTTTCCTTTTGTTCGTTTTGTGGGCTTTATCCTTTTTTATTCATTTGTCACAGGGAAAAGACACTGAATTTGGGAGTTTCTAGCTGTAGGGAGACCCTAGAAGAACTGTAGCTGAATGTGACTGACAGTAGAAGCTGGAAAGCTTGGCATGAGGGAACACTCTGTTAGATGTAGAATTTGGCTACATATGGGGCTAATTTCCACCAGTCTGATAAGGCTTTCTTGTGGGATTTTGAAGTTTTTGCGCTCCAGGCAGATTTTGACTGGTTGGTGGCATCATAAATGAGTTTTCATAGTAAGTTGTATGCCGAAAAGGAAATTAAATTCCAAGAGGGTGTTTGTTGTGACTGATGCCAGAATTTCTCAGAGAATTTTATTAAGATTCAGTCAGTCTATAAAAGTACTTTTTAGTTCCCTGAAGATATTAATTAAGAAATAGGTTTTTTTTAAATAGCAGTGTCTCCTTTGTGAGCATTTGAGATTTCATCCTCCTAAATCATTGGAACAATTGAAGTCCAAAACATCATAGAGATGTATATTTCTAAAGCATTTTATCCTCCTTTTCACATTGTTTTGGTAGTGAGTTTTGGTTTCTTTCACATTTTGATAGCTTTGTTTTTATATTGGTAGAGCTCCTGTGTGCCTTCTTTTCTTTGAGGTTATTCTTGTCCATTCATGGTGAAGAGGTAGCACAGTTAGGTGCAGAAGAGTGAGGCAGGCACACCTCACGGTGAGCCACGTTGGAACAGTACAGGTGATCGTTTTGGAGTGCTGGGCTCTTCACAGCTGCTTCTTGCAGCTGATTTAAGAGTTGATCGATTTACTGCCAATGCACAGAAGAGGAGACGGTACAGAAACACATGTCCAGCAAGGAGTTAACCATAGAGTTGCATGTGGGCCACCACAGCCTGTGCTTCCATTGATGCTGCTGGGGAAGGCAGGGGCATTGCTTGCTCTGCTGAGCATGTAGCCTCTGTCCTATAGGGTGGGAGGTTCATTAAGGAGTGAGGGTCAGGTTTGTATCTGTATATGGAAAGATTGTGTGGAGGATGAAATGCATCAAGGGGAATTAGGAGAAAGGAATCCATTAAAGTAGTCAGCTGGAGACACAATGAGGGCTTGAATGTCAGATACTAAGATGGTGGCGTGGTGATGGAGGAAAGGGAACATGTTGGGATCAGAAGAGCTGAGTCCCCCTGCATGTTGAAGTTGAGAGGGGATAGAATCAAATCTGAGCATTTCCTGTCCTCATCCTTCCCACTGCAGTTCTGGGCTGCCAGGGGTGGAGATTCAATCTCCTTATAGACGGAAAACAGTCTCTGCAGAAGCAGAATTGCCTCCTTTGGTCGATTTGCTGACAGCTAGAGACAGGTGTTTGAATCCAACCTGCAAGGACTGTCTCCTCTCTGTGCCTGTCCACTGGCCTTATCATTTCTACATTTCCAGAAGCGTCTCAGGACAGAAGTCAGGCTGCTCAGACACTGTTTAGGGAGATTCTGGTTTGAGTATTCAAACTTGAAGTAAGTGAAAAGTGCCAAAGACAAGAAGCTACCAAAGAAAGAAGCCTTTAGTGGTGTCCCAATATTCCCTGGTTTCCCAGAGGACCCCTCGGGGCGCTAAGTACTAGTTGATCTGTCCTAGGTGGGGTTGACTGGGAAAGGTGAGTTCACTGTGAACAGTGGGGAACATTGGCCAGCTTGAAGGGGAGGAGGCCATCCTTCCCTGAAGTCTGAAGTCTCTGGGGAGCCAGGCCAAGACAGAGTGGCAGCACAGGGTGATGGTTGACTGATACCTAATCATAGAACACACTGTTGCCATTTTCGAAATGTACTGGTCTTGTATCCTCTTCCCCTTGTCAGTGCCAGACATGGTAGTAAACTTTCTTTTGGGCGTCTGTTTTTCCACTTGCATAATACCCCTGATCTTCAGATGGTTGCTTCTTGCTCGGTCAGGCTGGAGATCTGTTGATCAGGTTCTGGCTTTATTTGGGCTGCATTCTTTGTGAAGAGGCAGCTGAGTTACCTGTGTGGATCAGACTGCTTCCCTGCTTCATCAGTCACAACCCATCTCTATCAGCAAGTCACCTTGCATAGACTCAGCTCACCTACTTTCTGCTTGATGCTTTTCCTTTCCTTCAAAGAGGTGACCTTTTGTCTTTGTTCTAAGGGCACCTTTCCCTGGCACTCTAACTGTGAGGTGTTACAAGCATCTACTGAGTTCATCTTGTATGGTAGGAGCACTTGCCAGACAGAGCACATGTTTTAATTGGAGAAGAGCATTCTTGCCTGCAGATATTAGCTGTTACGCTTACCTCTTGAACATTATGTCCTAGGCAAAGCCTTGATGCTGTTTTTGTTTCATGTTTGTGTGTGTGTGTGTGTGTGTGTGTGTGTGTGTGGTGTGTGTGTTTCAATTCTTACTGGGATGCAAAAAGATATTTATCAAATGTTTAAATCTACAGTAGTGCCACTGCTCTGGCAGGCAGAAAGAATAAATACATATCTAGCCAGGATACCACTGATTTGTCTTCTCTTTCCCACGTTGTTGCTGTTTTGTTGGCAGGACCATCTGATTCGTGTACTGGCGCAGTTTCGATTTTAGTAGTGAGTGTGAAAAGATTCCTGGGCTGCTTGCCGAAGCGAAGGGACTCCAGTGAGTGGGCTTCGGGGCTGCCGGTCTTGACTCCAGAAACCAGTGCTCTGTCTCTGTCAGGAAGGGCAGGCCGAGGGAGCTTGCCTGGGAGGGCTGTTGGTGACAGTGAGAAACCTCCCCTCTGATGCCCGTTCCCCTCAGCATGTTGCTGGTGTTGGAACCCAGGGCTTTGTGCATGCTAGGCGAGTGCTGTACTGCAGAGCTATATCTCCAGCCCAAGAACTCTCTTAATCTCAGTCTTGATTTTCCTCATTCAGTTGGGTTGAGAGTCAGGAAGGCCCCAGAACCGATGCAGTTTGGGGACAGCAGGTTCAGGATAGGATGGGCAGCAGCTTCTCCGTAGGTCTCACCATAAAAGTTTTCCTGGCATCCTACATTTCCCTCCCTTTCTATTGATCCCAGTCCCATCACTGGGAGCTTAGAATTGGGATTGAACCTTATCAGCCAGCCTTGTTGACTGTAGAGTGAGGCATGGAAACCGTTTAGGGTTGGGTCAGCAGTTTCACATCTGCATAAGAACTCTGTTTTGGTGGTCGTGTTTACAGTCAGTTCACTTGATTTCTGGTAAATTATATAGACAGTATGTGAATACATTCTCCTGCACCCCACCTTCCCATTCAGTCAGTGTAGAAGTGTGAAGTGGACTTCTCAAGCCTTCTGTCCAGCACCTCTCCCCCAGGCCACACCACCTGCTGGGTCCTCAGGAGTAAGTAGTCTTAGCATTTGGATGTGTACCCTGAAACTGTCAGCTCACATAGACAGGCTGTATAGTTAGACTGTATAGGCAGCCTGCATAAAAGAAAGTTTTTTCTTTCTTTTATAAGCTTAAATCTGATCACATGTGTTCTACTACTTGCTTTGTTCATGTAACACACTTTAGAGATCTTTTCATGTATGTAGCTTTTCTTTGTTCTTTTATTTTTCTACAAAATATGTTATAGGTATATCATAATTTATGAATTGGTTTCCTTTTGATGGACAGATATATAAGTTAATTCTTTAAATTGTGATGTTCTCTTCACACAGAAACACCTGTGTTTCTCTAGGAGTAGAACTGGTTTGTCCAGTGTTGCATTCATTTAACATGCTGCCGTAGTACTTTTACTGTGCTCCTGGGAGATGTGCTGCTTTCAACTACCAATCGCGTATGAGACTGCCCGTTTCCCCACTGGTGGCCATTCTCCTGAATGAAATAGTTTGTGTTTGGTAGGCATTTTGTTGATTGTTGGTAAAGTTGTGACACTCATCATTCAGCCTCTGGATCTTAGTGGTGAGATCCTAGACTTTCAGTGACTGTAGAACAAGCCCACAGGACCTTGTCTCTGCTCTGGTCGATGTGAGCCCCTGGAAGCAAGTGCTTCTGGTTGCACATGCACATTCTCTCCACTTCTCCCAGAAGCTAGGTACAGTGATAGAACACTTTAATTTTGGTGTAACATGCCAGAGAGTTTCTCTGAATCTCTCCCCTGAGGAACCAGGAGTGTGTAAGTACTAGTCAGTACTAATGTGCCCAGCACTGCTGAGGCAGGGATTCGGGATTGGGAGGTGACTGGGAGAATGTTTAGATACCATGAGCCAGAAAACCAGATGCTGTTGTTTCTGGGAAGCCTGTGAGAATGTGGTGAGGTGAGATTCTGTATGAGGCAGGTCTTTCCTTCTAACTGTGTGGCCATAACCCTTCTGGCTTGTGCAGTGAGGTCACTGAAGTGCAGAGGGGTAAAGTAGATGATTTTCTTGGGCCAGACAAGGCTGGGATTCAGCCTTGGGCCCGCCTGCCTCCAAAGCTTATGTTTTTATGTTCCTAATAGTGCTGGCCCCGAGATGATATCCATCATTCCATGGTTTCATTCTCCTGGTCACCTGTATTTGCATCAGTGTGTGTGTGCATGGATGTTTGTGAACGATGGCAAGCTCGTTTTGCAACCCTGATGTATTTGCTCACCCAGCCAGATGTCCGAGGCCTGCAGGTTGAATGGGGAGAAGGCTATACCCAAGACCTGCATAGCAACACAGTGCAGGGGTCCAGATGAGGAAAATGAAACCTTGCTGTTGGGAGCCGAGCTGGGTGGGTGAGCCTAGGAGCACCCAGAGCACCCAGAAAGGATGCAGCAGGACTGGGGCAGACGTGGTAGCCTGTAGAGTCAGGTACACGGGCCTGTAACACGAGTCTGGATGATGTATGTAAAAGTTAACTATACAAATGAGATAGCCATAGCCTGTGGTGTGAGAGAGATTCCAGAGTAGTGTGTGACGAGTGCCAGAGGGATGGCCCTAACAGGAAGTCAGCAGAATGGAGACTTCACCTTGACTCTGGAGGTCTGAGAGGCTTCTCAGAAGCAGAACAAATTGAAACAAACCTTGCTTACCCCTTAGAGAACAGGGGAATTCAGTTTTTAATCCACCTTGCACTTGACAGGTAAGGATACTTGAGACCCCAGGGATGAGGTACCTTGTTCAAGGTCGTGGTCCTTGTGAATGGGAGCCACGCCTGGATCCTGCCCCTCTGTCCCACCCCACCACATATGTGCTTAGTTATTGCTGCTGTAGCAGTTCTCCTGGGAGCTAGCTGGTACTTATCACCTATATTATGGGCCAAATGAACGAACAAGGTCCCAATTCAGTTTTTTACCTGACTCGTCTGTCTGAGTGAAGTTAGAGTGTCAGCTTCTCAGTTTGGCCTTGGGTAGAGTAAGTGTAACACCCCTGCTTCCCTTCTAAGTAGATGTTGATTCACTCAGGAAATATTTACAGTGTCCACCAGGTGCCAGTTACTGTTCTTGGTACTGGGGATTGTGCAATGAATGAAAGAGGCCAAAATCCTTGTTAGGCTATTTTCTAGTGAGGGTGACAGACACTAATGAATACGTACTGTGTATGCTCGTGCCCTAGGAGTGTGGTAACAAAACAGAAGTGTGTTCTACCCCAGTTCTGGAGGCTCTGAAGGGCCTGTTACCTGCTTCTTTCTGAGCTTCTGGTAGTTGCTGGCACTTTTTGGTGCTCCTGACTTGTGACAGCATAGGTTTTGTGTCTGTCTTTGCTGTCACATGCCATTACTTGGGGCTTCCCATGTGTCTGTGTATTAGGGTTCTCCAGAGACACACAACTAATAGGAGACCGGTGTTAGAGCATGACTCACTGTATTAGGGTTCTCCTGAGAAGCAGAACAAATCAGGGTGTGTGTTTGTGTGTACATGAAGAGATTTGTTGTAAGGTTTTGGCTCGTGTGATTATGGAGCCTAAGTCCCAGGATCTGCAGTAGCAAGATGGAGACCCAGCAGAGCTAATGGTGTCAGTTCCAGTCCAAGTCTCAGGGTTGAGAATCAGGAGAGTGGAGGGTATAAGTTCTGGTCTGACAGCTGTCAGTTTTAAGATACTAAGAGAGCCAGTTTTTTGGTTTAAGTCCAAAGGCAGGACAAGACCAGTGCAGCAGCTCAAACTAGTCAATCAAGAGGACTTAGTTCCCTCTTATCCAAAATGTTTGTTCTGTCAGGTCTTCATTTGATTAATGAAGTTCACCAACGTTAGCCAGGACAATCTGCTTTACTTTACTCAATCTACCAATGCAAAATTTCATATTATCTAGGATCCCTCCCCCAACACAGAATTGATGGCTAAATATCTGGGCTTGTTGATAAGTAAAATTATCCGTCACACTCATCTTAACCAATTGTATATGCAAAGATCCTATTTCCAAATAAGGTCACGTTCTGAAGTTCCAGATGGATATGAGTTTTTTGGGATACTGTCAAACCCGGGAGTATGTGAGATGAGGCAAAGGGGGAAGGTGAGGTGTTGGAAGGTAGCCAAGGAAGGCCTTGCTGAGAAGGAGGTGTTCAAGCTTCAGTGAGGGGGAGGGGTGAGAGGAAGGCATGTTCTGGGGGAGGTTCTGAATGGAGAAGAAGGGTCAGCAAATTGCAGAGGCTCTGAGGTGGGTTCATGTGCCAACAAATGGCATAGGGCCAGGGTGGTTAAGGAGCAATGTGTGTAAGTGGGGATATGTGAGGGGATTGAGGATCAAGGAGGTCCTTGCCTGTTTTTGTGAAGACTTTGTTCTAGTAGGCCTGGAGCCACCCTTGTGGCTTTGAGCACAATATGAGAGCAAGATAGTGTAAACCAACTGAATTTTTCTAAGCTTAATGGCCATGCCATCCGTGTGTGTGTGTGTGTGTGTGTGTGTGTGTGTGTGTGTGTACCTAGATATTTTGCAGCAGTTATTTCGAGGTTTTTAAAAAATGTAGTGCTCTCTTGACTATTGATCCACCATCCTTTCTGTCTGTTCTCTTTCCTTCCAGATGCCTTTCACCCCATAAACCACATGCCTGGAGAAGGAGACAGTAGACAGGTGAGGTGGTGGTAGGGACTGCCAGTAAACAGCATTTGTGAGCTACAGAGCCTCACACCACCTGAAGTGGTAGGCTCTTTTCCCTCCAGCCCTGGGCCTGTGTGGTGGACACTGCTGATAGTTCAGGTGCTCTTTGCTCTGAGCAGATTTAGAAGATGTTGAGGTCCATGTGCAGACTTAGTTTGTTCAGCTTCCTGGATCCTTCTGTGTGTAAAGTTATTATGCTGCGAAGAGTCAAGTCTGCTCCCTTGGTCAACGGACCACATTCGGCCTTGAAAACAGGGCAGGGAGGAAAGTCCAAAAGGATATGTGGAAAGCCATTGAACTCTGGTGTGGATACATGAGCCCAGGGCCTCTCTACCACCCACTTTGTATGGCCTAAAAGTTTTCAAACTTCATACTTGTCATAAAAACACTCCTGCAAGCTGAGTATCTGGAGGCTTGTCCTCAGCATACCTGGCCCAGCGGTCCAAGGCAAGGCTGGGTCAGCTTGCTTTATTACTGAGGAAATCATGATTTCAGATTCCAGCTTCAGACTTGAGAGGAAATCGCGTTATCTGGTTGATGTGGAATTTCCTCTTGAGGGTTGTGCAGGAAAGGGCCTACCACTGTGTGATGAGCGCTCCTGAGAAATGGGCCATGGTTGGGCCTGCTGCATCTGCCTGAGGACATACCAGAAGCTGCCCATGTCAGGAGGTTATGTGGGCATCGCTGGCACCCCAGACCCCCAAGAGACATCACTTTAGAATATAATTATGTGTAAGCAGAGATGGAAACAGATTTCCCTGTGCCAGCTGCAGCTGCTTCTCTAATGTTTCAGGAGTTACCTTTGGGGTAACACTTCTTCTCCCTCTCAAGCAAAACATACTTATACAAAATAAAGTTGTGTAGACTATTCCTAGGTAGAAGCTAGCATTACAGATGTGTTCGGTAAGAGTGTAATTCCTCCTAGTACATCAAAAGGACTTCCTTAAAGGAACTGCCTTTTAAGTTCACAGCCTTTCTCTGCCAGAGCCACTCAGGAAGTTTGGGATCTAGTTATAGTTAGAGCAGAGCTGGGCCTTGCTTAGGATTGAGAGCCAGAGGAGGATCCAACTCTTCCCATAAAATAGCTTCTTTATCCTGTGTCCAGGGGTGGTTTTTATCTGTGGATGTACTTAAGCATTTAGTAAGTAAATACTTGCTGGTGGGTAAGATCACACTCAATGTGGGCCCTAAGGTCTTCTCTGGGTTCTGAGCTTGCTGCATGCTGTGATTTAGCTCAGAGTTTTGAGAGTGCAGTCTTCTGGTCCACAGTTTGGTACTGAAATATGAAATTCTGGTCTCATCCTAGAATTTGGGAAAGCCATTTGCCTTTCTGAGCCTCAATTGTCTGATCTTTAACCTGGGGTAGATGAAATGAGTGTCTCCCTTATTTGCTGCCTTCCTCCCCCCAGGGCAGGTCCTTGGCGCTGCTTCCCTAGTAACATGGGAATCCCTTGAGGGCACGGCTCTCTAGAAAAGGGAACATGAACTCTGTCCCAGCCAACCTGACACGTACCCAGCTCTCCCCGAACTCAAGACCCTGAGCTCCAGTGCTCTCTGTATGGTCTTCTTCCCGGCTGGCCAGATGGTCAGGGTTCTTGCTTTCTGGGTAGATGATAGTGAGAGGAGTAGCAGATACAGAGGATTTGGCTAAATCTCCATCTCTGGAGGCAGGTCTCTCAGTTGCTTAACCTCATCTGTTCTCAAGTTTCATACAACTTTCTATTCTTTTTTATTTTTAAATAACTTTTGTTTGAGTTAACACATATATTACAGGAAGCAAATAAACACATGAAGCAAGGAACAAAATCATCCATATAACACACAGAATTTTTTATTTTTGCCTTGAACACAGGCCCTGTATTTCTGGATGTTGTAAAAATTGTTTTTGTATTACAAGTAAGACAGGAAAGAATCGATTATACTCCATGCTTACATATACATTAAGTACTAAATTTGTTAAGAATTAACAAATTCATAAATATCATAAAATGTTTTTTAAATGGTTTCTCTGGATTTTGGTATTGTAGGTTTACATTGTTGTATTTTTGGCATTTTCTACATTGTACATGTATTCTCTTTGTAGTAAAGCCTATTAAAATCAATGTTAATTAAAATCAACTGTTAAAATCAGTGAATGAAATCAAATATTGATTTAGGATCAATATTTGTGTGTGCTAGACACTATAAGAACGCGCCTTTACTCAAGTGGTGGAGTACTCGCCAAGCAATCACAAGATCTAAGTTAAAAAAAAGCCTTTACGATGTCTTATCATTGCAGAGCAGACCATTGAAAATGGTACTGTGTTAAAATATACCTAATGTAAAATTGACTTTAACCGTTTTTTAAGTACACAGTTTTGCAGCATTAAGTACATTTGCTATGAGACCCTTTCTTTAACTCCTTATTTATAAACTAGAAGCTGAGACTTAGGAAAACAAAGACCTTGCCTAAGATCCCAGAACTGGTAAGTTTCTAAGACAGTATTTGAGGGCAGACTGACAGATATTCAGAAAGCCTCAGCGTTCTGGGCTCTTTGGTTTGTGGCCTTGGGATACATTTTCTTATTCTGTCCTGCCCACCACTGAATGAAGAAAACCATTCACTCTGTGTGTTTCTCCCTTGAGACTTGTTGGGGTTACATTTTATGTATTTGTCAGGAAGCTAGGATCAGCGTGAGGCAGATGGATACCAAGGTTGATGACTTGGGTGCTTCTGTTGTGTTAGTGAGAAAGGTTGAAGTGTGTGCTGCTGTGCTGGGCAGGGTGTCTGCTGGGATTCTGTCTGTAGAAGGTGGCCGGCAGCAAGGTGTGCTGGAAGCACCGTGGCCCAGAGCTCAGATGGATGGTATTACCGGGTCTGGGTGCACTGTGCTGGGTAGTTTTGGATAACAAGCACTGAACTTAAGAGTTAGAAGGTCTGGGCTTCAGTCTCGGTTTTACCACATGGTAAATATGCTTTGGCCTTCATTTCCTCATTTCTAAGTGGTCGATGGAAGTGCCTGTTCTGCATGCCCACGATAGTGCTGGTGATTAAGAAAGTGCTAAGTAAACCCGAGGGCTCTCGAGTATTGTTTCTATGCTGAGCGTTTAATGCTGAGGGAAGAGTGTGTGGGGCTCACCCCAGAGACCCGAGAAGGATGGGTTTGAATGTGCTTTTCTGGGCTGTCAGCATGCTTCTTCTGCTGTTGCTTAGCTGGTAAAGTGGATGTTCCTCCGTGTTCTACCCAGTACTAACTGTTGTGGGCCTTTACTGAAATTCATCCCTGCCAAGTTCTTTGAGTTCATTCTCCCCAAGATGCACATATCCCTGCCTGGGTGAATTGTAATTCACCTGATTTTGTAGCTCCATGTGGTTGAAGTACGCAGCAGCTTTCCCTGGTCTCAGCTGTCTGCCTTGCCTCCACAGTTCAGTCCCTCCATTCTACTCTCTAATGCTAAGTAGCCCTAAGTGTGTGAGTGTGCTGGGATCTGGACGGTGTCGTTGGGGGGAGAGGAGCTCGCATTCTCCTTGGACCCATTTGTGCAAGACACTGCAGAAGGTCAAGATGAAGACAGGGCCTTAGGTCTCAGACAACCCCTTGTTTCACAGGGAAGACCTACAATTAGGGCTGGGAGTAGGCCCCACCATGAGAACTGTAGCCTTTGGTCCACATGGATGGAAGTGGGTTGTTGGGGAGAGTGGGGATGGAAAGGGGATAAGTTGTTGGCTGACATCTGTGACTGGTTGGTTTTTTTTTAAACTGGGTTTTGAACTCAGGGCCTTGTGCTTGCTAGGCAGGTACTCTGTCACTTGAGCCACAACCCTAATGACTGCTTGCTTTTTAACAACTGTTTGAGTTAGCTGTTTTTGGCTGGGATTCCTGTGTAACCATTGGGGTAATTTTTGGAGTCATCACTGTTGCAGCATACGATTCATTTGAAAGGAAAGCCAGGTCTGTGTTGGGCTTTGTGGAAGCTGGTGGCCCTATCTCACTGTCCACTTGTTCTTGGCTTTGAGACTGGTACTCAAAGACAAAGTAAGTCACAGATACCTATTTTGAACTGAGTATGGCTGTGCTGCATGGAATTTAATTTCCAGATCAAATCCTGTTGGCTTACATTTGGCCATAGCACTCTGGTTGGTCATGGGGTTTATTTATTAAAGTGTGATGAGTCTGTGGGTAGGAGACACTTGAATTCTCCAGCCTTTAGGGGAGCAGCAGTAGAGAAGCCTTGGAACCACTCAGGAAGCCAAAGTGGAGGTTTTCACCTTCTATTTTTCGTTTTCTGAAAATTTTTGGTCCCTACTAACTGCAGGAAACCTTTTCGTTTTGAGGAATCAAATTGAGTTTTTACTCAACATTACTTTGCCTCTGTTTTAAGGCAGCAATAGCTTTTAGTTGTTGACTTACTGTGTGCTGAGCCTTTTATGTAGATTATCTCATTTAATCCTTATGCCTTGGAATGTGAGTATTGTTTTTCCCACTTACAGAAGAAAAAAACCAGGTGGTTCAGTGATTTGCCCACAGACCTATGTGTGAGTAGCAGGGCCAGAGTCTGGTCTTTTGCACCACAACCCTGGGCACAGAAGAGTCCTGGATGGAATGGGGAGCTCATTGAGGCTCTGTGACCTCTTTGACCCTCCTCCCAGGAGAGGCTGGCAGTGGGCAGAGGGGACTGTTTTGAACCTGGACTTAGATTTTAGGCTGTCTCAGTGGAGTGACTGGACCACAGAAATGACAGTTTTTACCCTTTGTTGCATCTTTTCCTGTTTCACTACTTTTTTCTAGGTGTCCTTGCTCAAGACAAGTGCAGTGAGGTGGTGAGATTGATGACTGCAGGTGGTGATGGCATCAATTAACCACCTGCCCTGTGTGTGCCAGCTGCTGGGCTGAAGGTTCCTCCTTGGCAGCCTTCCATGCTCTCCCTGCAAGTTTGAGGAACAAATCCACATTTCTAGGGGGTGTGTCTTTTGTCTCTACAGCTTTTCCTCC